GTGTAATTGTTTTGGCCATGCAGATCATTGTGACACAAGTGTTAATCCATACAGATGTCTTTGCTCCAAGGAAAGCTACACCAAAGGCAGAAATGTGAGTTCAATTAAGTTGAAATGTCAAGTTCTCTGGTTTTAACATCTGGAGGTCCTAAGTTGTGCTAGAGTAGAAATCTAGCTTTGCATGGATCTTTTATTTGTATTGGGATTGCCCTGAAATGTGGAGCTCATTCCATAAAAACATTTATGAAGAGAGGGAAGCGGGCATTTTGAAACAAGGCCCGCTTAGTAGGAGCTTCTCTCAAGGAAGCAATTGCCCTTCCAGAGGAAGAGAAAGGCACTGCACCATGTACTGTTTGGTGTAAAAAATATTGTGTGTAGGGAGAAAAATATTGTGCTTGGGGCAGAACTCTGCCATAACATTTATTTAACATGTGCAACAATACCTAATTCATCCAAGATCACAAAAGGAGAAGCAGCATTGCTTTTCCATTCATCCATCCAGGAACTGACCTGGGTATCCATGCTCCTGTTATTGCTCAGGATTCTTGCTTGTGATTGAGTTTTATGACTATGGTGAAGCACCTGCTTTGGCATACAGTGTAGCTAAGAGGAGGTCCATTCAGCAGATGCCCATTCAGCAGATGCCCAGATGCTACTGAACACTTCTTAGCCTGGCCCATCATGCCAGTGATACTGATGCTTCCTCAGCTCCAGGGAAAGGCCCTCTCTCCATCCCTGTGTTGAGTGCTTGGAGACAAGACATAGTTCCTCCAGCAATATGGCCTCTCTCCACTTTCCTTCTGCTGCCTATCAGATTATGATAGAATAGCTACACATTTTATTCATGGTGCTGGACGAGGTAAAAAAAGAAAAAGAAAATAAGCTTTCATTGCAGAAAGTTTCTTGGAAATGTCACACATGCCTAGGTGAAATCCATTTACAGAACATGAATTTACCTCACCCGTCTTGCAAGAGCCCCCTTTTAAGGGCTGATTTCCCTCTCTAGTTCACTATTCTGTATTTTCAATCAATAATGCATTTTACTCTGTCTTGCAAAGAACTCAAATCCCCTAATATTACATTGCTAGGTCTAGCTGCTTGGCCCATTTAATGTTAAGAAAACAAACTATTCTTTTAAACAATTAATTTCTATTACGTAAGACTACAGGCAAGTGCAGCTGGCTTTAGGTTACAGATTAAATCCTATTGAAGAGATCAGTGACAAAAACAACTAGCTATGTTAGAATTCAACTCATTCAACATGATTGCAAGTTGATTCTTAACTAATTAGAAATGGCTAATACCTGACCCCCGTATCATGAAACTAAACTTTCAAGGGAATGCATTCTTTTTCAGAGCCAACCATTTAGAATTCTTCATTACTCTCTGTTCCGCTCTCCTTAATAAATGCCTCACAATTAGATCCATCACACCCATTCTGCCTGCCTCCTCTTCAGAAGAGCTCTGTTTTCCCATGGTTTTAAGAATACCTTGACTTTCTGTTCCCTTCTTTTTACTTCTTTGGTCCTTGGCTCTTCATTCTCTACTTTCCTTCCTTCTTTTCAGCTGCATTGTAATCTGTTCTAATCTTTCTTTGAAATTTCTCTACCCAGCGAATGGGCCCAGTCCCTAAACCAGGTCCTTTAAAAAAAATTAGAAAGGGGAAAACAAATCAACCTTGCATAATCTATTATCTGTTTTAAGGTTTTGTGAGTGGGGTTTAACCCTGGAAAAAACCCTATTTCCTGGGTTCAGATGACGGAGCAAACCACAGCAATCATCAGTGCAGTTTGCATATTCATAATGTGGCCAGCATGTGCAGTAGGTCACTTCAGATAAATTAACCCATATGTCATGCAAAATGGCCCTGTGCCTTAGCAGTGGGCCTTTCCCTTGTGCCAGCCGTACTTCAAGAAAAGGTGGCTGGTTTTTCCCATGGACCATGATCACTGGAATGCTTTATGGTAGTGGTTCCAAACCTATTTTTGGTTGGTGGGCAGTTGTAGAATGTGAGAGTATTGAGAACACTCTCAGAAATGAGAGCTGCCCATTCATGAAATGGCTGCCATGGTAGCCATGGCTGGTACACAGCACCTATTTCAGAGGAGACAAACGGAGGCAATTCACTTGTGCAAGAAATGGAGTACAAAGCAGAGGAAAGCTGTGAGCACCAAAGTATTAAAAACCTGCAAGTGTAGGGGGCGTGTCATTCCCCAGGAGAGGTGCCTGTGAGCACCCTGCTGCATACTGCCAGGACGCTGGCGATCCCAGCTGCATGGCGCAGATGCACAGATTGCCCGTTCCAGCTAATAGGCATGTGACAGTGCTCTGAGCAGCAAGTGTGTCTGGGTAGGGACCAGCAAGGGAGCCGGAGATGCATTCCATCCTTGAGTTGTGCATAGCAGGGATTGGATTTCCCAAGAGAGGAGAAATATAAGCAACTGTTCATAGGAAATACATGTATTTTCTCTTTCAAGCTTTTAAGTTTTGGACATTATACTGAAAAGCAATGGGGAAAATACTTCATACAGTTTTGCTGAAAATAGTCATGCCATATTTGTGTTTTGTTTCTTTTTTTCATGTTGGATTCACTGTCTAATTTTAAAGAAGTTTACTGCCGGCATGTGTAGTATATTATTTTCATTGTACGGAAGCATGTTACCTGTTGGCACAGTGCACTGTGTTTATATTGTTCAGTTTAAAGAAAATATAATGGGGATACAGGACAGACCTGTTATTTTCTACTACAGAAGCAAAGTGTGCTTCTTTATTGTTTGTTTTTATATATAAAGAGCTGGAACCACTTCAGAAAGAAAACATGCCCTCAATTTCACTGTGCCCTCTTAGCCATTAAAATAATACTCAATAAGCAGGGTTTTTGTGAATTACACCGCAGTCAATTTGGCAAGCAAAGGCAAAGTTAAACCTTGATAATGTTCCAGTTCCTGACATTGGAAGGCATGAAAGGAAATATTTTTACTGACTTTGACAAACATTAGAGGAGCACAGGGTTGAGGGCACAGGTAGTGTCCCCACAGAACCTTGTTCCTGCTCTCTCTGCCATAGGAACCTTTGAAGCTGCCTTCAGTCACAGCATTTGAACCAAGCCCGTGGCAAACATAGAAACATTGTTTGATTTCTTTTCCCCCGTTTTCTCACTGTGCATTTCCTTATTCTTTGTCCCTCCATCCACCCACCCACCCACCCACCCTTTTTGTTTTGATTTATAAGATTTCCCAGTGCAAACTACCAAAAGGAAAAATATACAGAAACTTAAATAATCAAAATAGGAAGATATTGTGTTTGTTGTTGTTGATGATGATTATTCTAGCACCATCAATCCACATGTTTATAGTGAGGGAACAATGAAAGGTCTGTATACTAAAGCTGTGATAGTGTAAGGTGCAGAGAGAACAGAGGGAAGGAATCGCATAGCACATTCCTGATTCCATAATGGTGAACCATATGGATAATTATACCATATAACCTATTACAGTTCCTTCTTTGTGACCACACCTAGTGAAAGAAAATGTCTGTATTGGAAATCTGTATTGCTCCCAACCTGTAGGAAGGTGTCCTGGTTCATCCAGTTTTATTCTGCTGCTTCCTGTTTCTTGGATATGGTATTTTTCTTTTTGAAAAACAACTGTTTTAATGTGTATAATTCTACTGCTTCTTTTGATTCATAAATGCAGGATACAAAATATATATTCATCTCCAGTAATTTATTTATTTAGCATATGGCTTGTCATACACGGACTTGTGATATCTATTACCATTTGAATTAGGTTAAAAACCCATTTAAAATATAAATGTTAAAAAGATCTCTATTCAAACGTCAATGGTCTAGGCCATTAACTACTGAAGCACAGTATTGTTTATATAAAAAAAGTCAGGCACTGGGCTGGTGTATGCCCTCAGCGTACAGTCACAATATGTACACTTTGATGTGGGAACCCACAGTTGCACTGAATGGTAGGAGCTATACCCCATTATGCAGTGAGTCCTGGCAGATGCTGTATGAGGTGCGAATCCTGTTGAGAGTTGTTCAATACAGGTGGGGTAAGTCAAAACCTGGCACCTTTTGCATGGGATCATCTAAATGTCTACTATTTCTAGGCATTCAACAGCCCATTTAGCTTTCCATTGGGAATTGATGTTAAAGTTATTATACATAAGTTGTGTGAGTGCCGGTGAGGCCTTCCTGGATCTGATCCTGCCAACTGATAAATAAGGAAGGTCAGCATGCCCTGGTAGAAGTGGATTGCTCATGATTTTTCTATATTCTTTCACTATAGCATTTTGCCTTCTTAAAGCTGGGGGTGCTATATGGCTCGGAACACAAAGCAAGCAAGCGAGTAGGAGTGGATTGATACATCTGCTTATAAGCCTCATGGTGTCATTGAGTCTGGCATCAGTCTTGCTAGTATGGCAAGCTGTTGAGCCATACGGAGGCACAGTATTCTGTTGTGGAGTAGACCAACCCTAGTGTTGATGTTCTGAGGGTGACTACTGAAGCTCCTCATTTTGTTCCACTTAGTTTCTGAATTATGTTCCTAGTATTGATTTTAGTGGCCGTGTTCTCTAAATGAGTCTTTTAAGAGAGAGTCCAGACCAATGTTACAGTGGTCCAGTAATAAAAGGATATGTCTGTTTCAGCACCATTGTATCAAGACTGTGAAACCTAGACATCTGCATACTAAGGGGACTCCAGGGTTATTTTGTTTTAAACATGTATTAATTACTTTAAATTAATTTACACTGGCCCGCCTGCACACATCTGTATTTGAAACTGCAATACCACCTCTAGTCACTAGGTGGCTTCCCTAACCATTTCATCATGCGTAGCTTTGAAGGAAAGAGGGAAGGAAAGGGTTATATGACTATGAAGAAGCCAACCTCAGGGGAATGGTTTTGACAGGGCCTTCCCTCAGGGGCTGGTAGGGATGCACCATGGCAAGGGCTCTGCCTAGGTGTGCCACTGACTTCACCCAAACAGATCTGGCATAATGTGTCCAGCTGTATAAAGTGTCCTTCAAGTCTTCACTGTGTCAGATGAAAACCTTTTCCAACCCATGTAAAGTCATGACTGAT